CTATTACCAGAGTCCAAACTAAAAAACATTACTCCCAATGAAATTTTTATCAAAATTTCAACTCATGTTTAAATTTAATTTTTTAATAATCTGCTTGATTACAAATGCATTTCTATTGTTTGCTTAAATAAAGTCAAAATAAACCAGAAACATTTTAATTTTTTTTTATTTCAGGAACATTTAGGATAACCAATGAAATCAGAAAAAATAAAAACAAAAAATAAACCCCACCTCTCTTTCAGAAACATAAGTTAACAGATGTCTTTTAATCAGATGACCAGTTACATTATACATGTTTTTGTCCAGGATCTATCAAATTTTTGATCTAATAAAACTAATTTTCTGTGGCATTATAACTGACTAGATCTTACATTTAACATACCGTTTCAAAGCATTTGGTGTATTAATCATTAAAATACAAGGAGAAAAAAGGCAAATTTCCTATTCACCTGTATTTTTCTTTCTATGCTTTAGCTGCCTCATGTTGAAAATTAATCAAAATCCATCATGAAAATGTCTATTTCTCAGCAGTAAGAAAAAAAAACAACAGATTAGACAAACTAAAAATGCCACGTCTACAAGATATGGACGGTAATCTTTTAAAATAGAAAAAAAAAAGAAAAAAAGAAGGATATGAATGTGAAAACAAAGTTGTTACATCAAGTGCAAGCCCAAAAACAAACCTATAAATGACATTTGTAATATAAAACTTGGTAAAAAATACTTATTTAAAACTGTACAATCACCAAGTACACCGAGTGAGCACATCAACCATTATTTACTTGGCTTCGGCGGCATCAGCCTTTGGCTCCTGGTAAAAAAGAGAAAAATAACTTATACATTTAGTAACTTTCTGATGGGCAGAAGTGTCTATATTTATTAAGTAAAAAAAGACAATACCTCAGCCTTGGTGTTGCCATTCTCAGCTGGTTTGGCCTTCTTCGCTTTGGCTGCCTTCTATAAAATAATAAATAAATAGGTTAGAATAAAATTATACCATATATGCATATAGAAACATCAATAACATTAGGTTGTTTACCTTTGGAGCTGCCTTTTTCTTAGTCTCCACAGGGGTCGCTTTAGGTTTCTGTAACAAAGAAATAATTGTAAAACTGATATTAGTATTTTACAATGTAAAGGGGGAAAATATGAGCATATATAACAAATTGTTTAACCTGATTCCTGATCACAGAAAACTAACAGAATAATAAYAAAAGCAGCAGGTTTACCATTTTTACTGATCACGTTCTGATTCAAAGAAAGTGAACGTTACCTGTGCCAGACGTGGGGAGGTTCGTCTTTGCTATAAAGGAAAAAACAATGAAAATAAAATCAACATAATTGCTTTTATTACAGTTGGGAAAAAAAAAAAGAAAACTGGTGGATTGCACAATCAAAAATTGCAAGTAGCAAACTTATAATTTCAACTTAATCTAAATATCAGTAAAAAAAAGGGAAAAAAATTGGCATGCAACAATTGAACTTTGCAAAGATCTCTAAAAAGAAAATAAAAATATCAATGTCATGAATAACAAACCTCAGGGGGGACGGTTGCCTGTAGGGAAAAAAAARGRAACATTTTTTTTAATTAAACATCTGAACAAAAGCACTTAAAAAGCATAAATCTATTAAATTCACATGTTCTGGTAGTACAGAGCTTTAAGAAGCAGAAACTATAAAAAAAGAAGTCTAAAGAAATAATAATAAATAATACACTGCAGCTGAACTTGAAGCTGACAAAGAACTTCCCGCGCATATTTGAATTCAAATTGGGGCTGTCCTGTTACCATGGCAGCGCTTTGGCGCCTTGACAGCTTCCTTTGTTTTGTATCAGTGCGCGCGCCTTCAGACAAATGCGGGGAAACCGATAAGGTTACTACTTTATCAACATTCAACTGCACAATAAACAAGGAAACAAAAAAAATCGTTGATTTAGAAAACGCAACCATAAAATATAGTTACATTTCCTGCCTTTATGGTAAAAAAAACAATATATATTAAATTAAGATTTATAAAAAAAACAACTACTATTAGGTATCTACACTTGTAATTTAAGTGAAATACCTTGTGAATTTTCGCGTTGATGTGCGTTAAAACCCAATCCCAGTGATTCAAAACAGTAAGAAAAATTAATCCGGGTTTACCACCCCTCCCCCCACTCCTTCCTCATTTTTTTTTTTACTTTGCGCTTTACTGCATTTCAAAAAAACCAAACCGTTCGTAATTATTTTCACATTTTTAACTGTGTTTTATGCACGACCTCGTGTTCACATAACTTTAATTGCTTTTGTGAAAAAAATACTTCCTAAAGTTGTTTGCTCAGTGCAACCTGTCCAGATTCTGCCCAGCCCACAGAGAAAAGACAAGACGATGACAGAAATTCAGCTCAGCGCATCGTTACAGGCTGCTCGGCTCGATTAAGAGCCCAACTGCGCATTAAATCGGTAGATTATCTGCTAATGCATGTTTTCGGTGAAACAGAGGGTTTTTAAAGCGACTAGGAGGAACGTATGCGTTCATTTTCGTCGACTAAAGAGGATGCAGGAACAGCTCTTCTGCTGTCCTGCCGCCATTGCTGCTCCAAGGGTTTGTTAGGGATGATGACGTTCATCTGATGCCGAAAAAAATAAATAAAACGCGGCTTAACATTAACCTCGAGCAAGAAGCACGATTTTTACACGAAGAAAATGAATAAATAAAATTACAAATATTAATAAAAACCTTACCTTGGCTTTTCCCATATTATTGGCTGGAAGTAAAAATGAAGCTGCAAAACGAGCTCTTTTTTTTCCTGGGGAGAGACAGTACACGTCGACCGTGCAGCCGCTGCGTAAAATGGCGAATGTATAATACAAACGAATGTTTTTGTAGTTTATACAGTGAAATATAAGAACGAAACCGGTTTGAACCAGTTTTGTGTTTCGACGAATGTCATTGGACAATAGCGTATCACGTGGTTCCAAGCACCGCCCACTTGTTAAAGAGGCAGGAAGCCAGGAGATGAGTACTGGCTAATGCCGCCGGGGGGCACTGTGTTGACGGTTGTTCTTGTGGTCGCGGAGAAAAAAAAAGACTAAAAACAAAAACAAAAAGTAAGAGGCTAGCTTGCTGTATTGTGTTTTTTCCGAGAGGTTTCCGTCCACTACACCGTGCTGAATGCCCATGGTTGTAATTCCTCCGACAGAGTTATTATGAGCCAACGTAGACAGTTCTTAACCCAGTTTTAATAGTTTCTGCAATCTCCTTAGATGTGTTGCTGTGATTTGACTCTTCTCAGACTGACATCTTTTCCACAAYCACGGGGTGTCTTTCAACATGTTGAAGAAATGAGAAGCAACTCAATGCACAAGCTGGGGTTAAATAACTTGTCACCATCTGAAATATAATTGCCCATGCAGTAGTTATCCAGTAGGAGGCTACCTATTTGCTTAGTTAAATCCAGGTGGCCACTTTTCTGGCCATTTATTGCCAAATAACACATTAGGTACATTTAATATTAATTTTTGTACATATTTAAATTAAAAAAATAGGACATCACCTATTTTTGTGTCCATGCTCTTTGTTCTATGGAAAGATGATGAAAATTACGACTATAACAGTTGATTTACTAAAATTGTTTTCAATTAAACGTAAACACTGATCTTAATTTCCTTTGGACTTGAATGTTAAAGATTTAAGATTTTTTACATGAACATGGTACATCTTTTTTTAACACAAGTCCAAAATTGGTAACTGCTTTATTTCAAAATTGTTCAATATTTATTTATTACCTTGAAAATTACTGGTGAAACGTTCCTGTTATATTAAATATACATCAGTCCTTCTGTTAATAGTTATAATTCAATGCAAATTTGGTGTCTTTTTTCTCAAATTTTTCCTTAAAAACATTTAAGTGTTCCATTCTGCATCATACAAAAAAAAAAAAAAAAAAAAACTTTGACTTTCTACTTACCTTCTTAAATTACCATACTTAAAGTCTCAATGACTTAGTCATTTAAAAAAAATAAAATAATAAAAAAATAATATATATAAACTAAAAGTATGTAACAAAAACTTTCCAAAGTAAAATGTGTTTTTTGAAACAATAAATATTACCAGCAACAAACTGAAATAGTTAAAAGAAAGTTTAACCAAATTTGATTGACTCTTTTTCATTTATTCTAGTTGAAAAAGCTGGTCAAAATATAGTTATTTTCAAAAATCACACTCAACACTTTCAGCAACATAATTAAACAACCAGAACTGAGTTCTGTGAATAAACGCGTCAGAAACAAATCATGAACACAGGAAGTGCGTTTTTTTTGTTTGGTGCTCACAGACTTCAATCTTTCGATCAACAGCATGCATGTGACGGACAATGTACACAACTATTTAACTGCATCTTGACCAGGAATTTCCACATATTAGACTTTGTAAATCTACAATCATAAATATCACATTTTTTCTACAGCCCCATAGGGGTAACGTCGCCCTCTCTTCTTATATATGTCAGCAACAAAACGGAGCCACGGCAGTGACTGACTCTTCCTGGTTTCCACAGAAGCCCTTTAGAACAGAGGACTGGAGAGGTTTTTATTCTGATTTCAGAAGATTAGTCTTTTAGTGCTTTCCTAGTTCAAGACCGTTTCGCTGCACAGGTCATGAAAGAAAGAGTTTCTTTTGTGTTTCAGTGCTCGTAGGAAGTCCTGAACTCGTGCTTCCCGACAAGCGATGTGGCGCTGCAGCGCCTCTCGTCTCTTCTGGGCATCGGCCGGCTTTCCGTTGTTGCTCTGACGCTGCAGGTGCTCCGCCACACAGGCCCGGTCGGCCTCGAGCTGCTCTAAAGCCTGCTCCTCTCGATGCAGGTCCCTGGCCTTCTGCAACACAACGCACAAAACAAACGTCCCATTTGGTGTGTGGAAACAACTCACACAGATTACTGAATAACCAGTTTAAATCCTCAGGTGGGTGCTTAGCAGTGTAGACAAATTCAGTTTAAATTTGCAAGACAAATCTGTAAACTATTCAAATCAAAGACGGAAATCGTTATTTTCCATTTTGAACCTCAAACTGGCTGCACTCAGCGTAGATCAGAAGGGAACTACTAATACTTTGAGTGATTTCTGTAATGGTTTATTTCTCAACTACTACATTTGACTTTTAATACAATTTCCTTTTTATTCTTCGAATGCACCAAGACAGAAAACAAAAATAAATTGTTTTGGATTTTCAAAAGGGCTAAACTGCTCATGGACCTGCTAGTTTTAGCCTTCGGCACTTGGCAACAATCAAAAAGTCTTAAGAAGTCTAAACATTTTATTCTGGCAGATGCTTCAAAGGTTTTCGTTTTGAACTTTTCAGAAAATCTGTGTTGGTGAATGAAGATCCCTGGTTCAGAGTGTAGCTGTACTTGATCATTTCTGGGAACGGGAGGGCTTACTGGGGCCAGCTGGGGGAGCTGACTCCCTGTGGGAGCATTTTGCTCCTTCAGCTTATTCTCCCCATCCCTCACCGCACACCTCCATCCTCTTCACTTTCAACTTCACCCATGTAGGGTTTTTTTTGGGGCACAGTTGTGTTATAAGAGCAACAATATTACATTTCTATTTGCCATAACCACCTGGGCCCCAAATTTTATTGTACATCTTAGACATTCACATATACGAACTTAAGGTAGGCACTCATGGCTATAGGTGGCCGGATGGCACCACTCTCGCCTCCTG